AATAATAATAATAATAATAATAATAATAATAATAATAATAATAATAATAATAATAATAATAATAATAATATAACACTTCGTAATAATAATAATTCAAAACACTTAATATAATTTATATATATATATATATATATATATATATATATATATATATATATATATATATATATATATATATATATATATATATATATTATATTAAAAGCAAAATGATGGCCAAAATTTTTTCCCCTCTAAAGTGTGAAAACAATAACAACAATAATCTACTATACTAATAAGAGTCCAAGAGAGTTAGGCCTATAATGGGTAGAAAAAATGGCGGTCAAATTTTTTAATCAAATGAATGGCTCAGATTGATCAGATTTTAATTTTTTCTTAAAATTTACTAATTTATCCTTAATGAATATGATTATCCGTTAACTTTTCCGTTAAATATTATCTTTTTCGTTAATTTCTGTTAGTTCACCGTTAACTTATTGATTTCAATAAGAAATGTCTTAGGTTCGAACCCCATTCTAATCAAAGTTGGCATAATTAGTACTCTATTTTACTCTTATTAAATTAAATAATAATTTAGTAGCTACAACAAAAAATAATACATATGCATTTATTTAATTTAGAATTATGTGTCTACAATGTTTTTATTCAAAAAAATTTATTCATTATCAATAAATTAAATAAGAGAAATAATTTCATTAGTTATATTGTCTTTATTTTTCTCCAATATAAAAATTCTTTATATTCAAATTCATCAATTTCACTATATTGTCTATTATCTTTTTTGTGCACTATTTTTTTTAATTAAATATCAAAGTTATAATACAAAATAATGCTATATATTTATTTACCAAGTATTTTATTAATATCATGAAAAAATTAAAAAAATATATAATTAATAAATCCAATCATATTAACTACTTGAGGGATTTGTTGACAACGAGAGTATTCAAATCATACAACAAATTGAAGTGAGAACTATCTCGCAATGTCCTTGTTTGACAACCAGCAGTTAGCTGTTAGCGTTGGCGGATTTGACCAGTGAATTATATCAACGGTTGGTAAAAGATATTTGAAAAAATTAGTTGTTTAGATTAACATGTAAAATGACCTAATGATATTATAATAATAATAATAATAATAATAATAATAATAATAATAATAATAATAATAATAATAATAATAATAATAATAATAATAATAATAATAATAACAACAACAACAACAACAACAACAACAACAACAACAACAACAACAACAATAACAATAACAATAATAATAATAATAATAATAATAATAATAATAATAATAATAATAATAATAATAATAATAATAATATTTGTTTTGAAAAAATAAAAAATAAAAAAATATAATTAAGCCAATCATATTAACTACTTGGGGGATTTATTGATAAAAAGAGTATTCAAATCACACAACAAATTGAAGTGGAAACTACCTCGTAATGTCATTGTTTGGCAATCAACCGTTAGCTCTTCAATATTAGTATATATTTAATATTTTATGCCCTCATTTTTATTTGCTCTCTCTTATGTCCTGTATTTGGTTTCAACCATACCTATACAATTGTTTTATTGAAAATTTTATTCAATCTTAACTATATTATCTTGGATTTGTAAACTTAGAATTACCTATTTAAATATGCAAATTCAACATTCAATTATCTATGCATGAACAATTTTAATATAATCTTGCATTGATATATACTTTAAAGTACTTATTTAAAAAACACATTGGGCATTATCTCAGTCGCGCGATGCGCGTAAAAAACTAGTAATAATAATAAATGATAATAATAATAACAATAGGGAAAACACGAGAAAGATAGAAGAAAATTATTATTACTTACCTTAATAATACTAATTATTCTTATTAAACCATCTCTATAATTCTGACAATTCTAAACTTTGTCTAATAATTATTTAATAATAATAATTACTTACCAATAATTATAATAAACAAAATAAGTACTTACCTTAATAATACTAATTATTCTTATTAAACCATCTCCATAATTCTGATTATCCTAAACTTTGTCTAATAATTATTTAATAATAATAATTACTTACCAATAATAACAATAATAAACAAAATAAGTACTTACCTTAATAATACTAATTATTCTTATTAAACCTTCTCTATAATTCTGAAAATCCTAAACTTTGTCTAATAATTATTTATTATTTAATTTAATAATAATAACAACAATAATAATAATGTTATTACCTTATTTACTTTATTTTCATTACTACTATATAATACTTACCAATAATAATAATAATAATAATAAAATAAAAATAATAATAATAATAATAATACACAAAATAAGGATGTTCAAAGAATACACAAAATAAGTACTCCATAATTCTGACATAAACTTGTCTAATAATTATTTAATAATAATAATTACTTACCAATAATAATAATAATAATAAACAAAATAATTACTTACCTTAATAATACTAATTATTCTTATTAAACTCTCTCTATAATTCTGACAATCCTAAACTTTGTCTAATAATTATTTAATAATATTAATTACTTACCAATAATAATAATAAACAAAATAAGTACTTACCTGAATAATACTTATTATTCTTATTAAACATTCTCTCTATAATTATGGCAATCCTAAACTTTGTCTAATAATTATTTAATAATAATAATAATAATAATAATAATAATAATAATAATAATAATAATAATAATAATAATAATAATAATAAGTACTTACCTTAATAATACTTATTATTCTTATTAAACATTCTCCATAATTCTGACAATCCTAAATTTTGTCTAATAATTATTTATTATTTAATAATAATAATAATAATAATAGTAATAGTAATAATAATAAAAAATAATAATAATAATTGGTCAAATGAGACTGGCAATATGAATGCATTTATTGTGTTCATAATTATTGGTAACGTTTTATATTAAATCATTAATTCCTAATATAATTTTACTTCTATTACATCATTATTATTATTATAGTAAAATATTAAATTAAATATATTAATACGCCCTAATATATATATATATATATATATATATATATATATATATATATATATATATATATATATATATATATATATATATATATATATATATAGGGAAGGGATCAGGTGCATTTGTGGCTTCTCGTGCGGTTGTGCGGTGGATTAATGTGCGTGAGGTTTATACTTAATGTGCGTGAGTGTTGTGCTTAATGGGCCTGAGATTTGTACTTAATGTGTGTAATGTTAATATGCGTGAGTTTTGTACTTAATGTGCCTGAGTATTGTGCTTAATGTGCGTGCGATTTGTGCTTAATGTGCATGAGTAGTTCAGAATTACGAGCTCAGAAGGAAGTAGAACAGAAATCTCATGCACATTAACGCCTAAGCTTCTTGTTACTTCTTCCTTCAATTTGGCCATGGATTCTGGATTATCAGCTACCTTCAGTGCAGTTGAATGTTTATATAGATGCCGCACGCACAGCAAAATTTGCACACCAACTAAGTGTGGATTTCTGTTGTATTATTCCCATAATTCTTAAACACCATAGCCGCCTCCGCATCATCATCATCAGGGAGGGGGCAATGGCTACTGGGATGGGGAAGAAGCTGACATCCATATTTTCTGCTGCATTTTACACATTCACGCACATTAAGTACAAATCTCAGGCACATTAAGCACACAACACTCACGCACATTAATCAACAGCACAATCGCACGGGAAGCATTCAACACGCGAACCTTTCAATATATATATATATATATATATATATATATATATATATATATATATATATATATATATATATATATATAGGGTCAGGTTCATGTGAGAACAGGTCTTCCCGTGCGGTTAGTGCGGCATACACCATTAGGTATGCATAAATGCACCACATAGTGTTCAAAAATACACCATTATGTGTGGTGTTTTTTTTTTGTGGTGCATTTTTTGACATTTTATTCTGGTGTATTCTCGAACTCTGTATGGTGTCTTTATGCATACCTAATGGTGTATGCCGCACTGACCGCACGGGAAGACCTGTTCTCACAGGAACCTAACTATATATATATATATATATATATATATATATATATATATATATATATATATATATATATATATATATATATATATATATATATATATATTTATATATATATATATATATATTTATATATATATATATATATATATATATATATATATATATTTATATATATATATATATATAAATATATATATATATATATATATATATATATATATATATATATATATATATATATATATATATATATATTAAAAGGTTTGAAATGATGTAATAAATTATTTTAAAATTATTTGGCAGATTGAAATGTTGCAAAAGTCTCCTTGTAACGTTAAAAAAAAAAAAATTAACATTAACTAATACAAATTTATAGGCCGTGCATCGCACAGGTATCATACTAATTGACTGTCAAGCAAAATACATAAAAACAGAAATGGAAATGATTTTCTAATAATTACTCCCTTTATAGGTTACTTTCTAATCTATATCTATATCTATATATAATTAAAAGTAAAATCCTCCTAGCCAAATTTTTCCCACAAAATTTAGGGGCATTTTTGTAATATCATTCATTATTTATATATAGATATTATATACAATTAATAATATTTAATATATATATATATATATATATATATATATATATATATATATATATATATATATATATATATATGGAAAGAAGAATATATTATACTAGGAAATTTAGAATTTATATATATATATATATATAGAATTTAAAATTCTTCTTATTATTATTAACATTAACATTTGATTAGTTTCATAAATTTCGTATAATTTATATATGCACTATGCATAAATTCTAAATTTCCTAGTATAATATATTCTTCTTTCCATATATATATATATATATATATATATATATATATATATATTATATAAAAACAAAATCATCATATTTCATTTTCCCGTCCAAACTTTTGTAGTAAAGCTTATTTGGTAAGTAAATGTCAAATAAAAATTAAATAAAATCTATTAATTGGTAATATTGCATAATTGGTAGTATTATGTATGGTATTATATTCTATAATATAATTGATAATATTATTGTTCAAGTATAATAAAAATTCTATGTAATAATGTAATAATAATAAAATGAAATTAAAATAATAACAATAACATTAATAATAACAACAACAACAACAAAAACATTAATAATAATAATAATAATAATAATAATAATAATAATAATAATAATCCAAACAAAATTATATACAAAATAAAGTTAAAATTAAAAAAATAATAATAAGGAGAAGACAAAGGTGACCCCCTTTGTAAATGATGTAGGATCATTTTGATCCCAGATTAAAAATGTTTGGAAAGATGAGCTCTTGAGCTTCTCTATATGACTATATAAGAGGAGCAATGCTCCTCTTACAAACATATAATTGCTTGCCCATCAATGTCGGCAAGTATTGAGAAGTCCAAAGACTTTTTTTTTTTTTTTTAGTATTATTGACTTGACAAATTATGTTGTGGAACTGTGTCCACCTTGCAAGGTAGACACGGTTCAAAAATTGTTCATAATTATGAATATATATATATAGTTCAAAAATTATGAACATATCTACAATACAAATAATAAATCTAATAAGAGCCAATAATGTTAGACCCTTAACTGGAACAAAAAAATGTTCGTAGTAGTTGTTTCTTAAAATGAATGATTCATATTATTTTGATTTTAGTATTTTTTTTTAATAATTTTCCTTATTTACCCTCTATTATATTATTTTCTTCCCTTAAATAACCCTAAATTCCGTTAGTATAAACTTTAGTAACGGAATATTTCGTTAACTATTTTTTATTTTTAACATACTCATTAATGGGTAGAAAAAATGACGGTCAAATTTTTTAATCAAATGAACGACTCAGATTGATCAAATTTTAATTTTTTCTTGAAATTTCCTAATTTATCCTTAATGAATATGATTAACCGTTAACTTTTCCGTTAAATATTATCTTTTCTGTTAATCTCTGTTAGTTCACCGTTAACTTACTCATTGATTCCAATAAGAAAAGTCTTAGGTTCGAACCACATCCTAATCAAAGTTGGCATAATTAGTACTCTATTTTACTCTTATTAAATTAAATAATAATTTAGTAGCTACAACAAAAAATAATACATATGCATTTTTTTAATTTAGAATTATGTGTCTACAATGTCTTTATTCAAAAAAATTATTCATTATCAATAAATTAAATAAGAGAAATAATTTCATTAGTTATATTGTCTTTATTTTTCTCCAATATAAAAATTCTTTACATTCAAAATTCAAATTCATCAATTGATTATATTCGCTACATTGTCCCTACAATGTCTTTATTAAAAAAAATTATTCATTATCAATAAATTAATTAAGAGAAATAATTTCATTAGTTATATTGTCTTTATTTTTCTCCAATGTAAAAATTCTTTACATTCAAATTCATCAATTGATTATATTCACTACATTGTCTATTATCTTTTTTGTGCACTATTTTTTAATTAAATATCAAAGTTATAATACAAAATAATGCTATATATTTATTTACCAAGTATTTTATTAATACCATGAAAAAATTTAAAAATTTTAAATTAATAAAGCCAATTATATTAACTACATGAGGGATTTGTTGACAAAGAGAGTATTCAAATCACACAACAAATTGAAGTGAGAAACTACATCGCAATGTCCTTGTTTGACAATCAGCAGTTAGCGAATTTGACCAGCAAATTATAGCAACGGTTGGTAAAAGGATATTTAAAAAAATTAGGTGTTTAAATTTACATTTAAAATGATCTAAGGGTATAAATATAATAATAATAATAATAATAATAATAATAATAATAATAATAATAATAATAATAATAATAATAATAATAATTGTTTTAGTAATAATTTTTTAAAAAAATATAGATGTGTTTTGGGAAATCATTCTCAAAAACATTAAGTGAAAATATTGTAAATTGAAATGTTTGTATTTTCAGTGGTTTGGAACAAATTGTTGCTTCAAACTATTGAATAACCAAAACACTTTCTTTAGCATATTGATCTTTGGGTTACATCATATTTACCAATCGTCCAATATCTTTGGGTTACATTATATTTAAAAAATTTAAATTTCTACTACATCTAAATTCCTTAAATTAGGAATTTCTTTATCCATAATAATTTATTCAACAATAATGGTTGAACTAAATGAACACTGAGTAAAACACCTAAAGGACTGTTTTATTCAACAATAATGGTTGAACTAAATGAACACCGAGCAAAACACCTAAAGGACTGGTACCGTTGATTCATTCATTGATCTTGTATATATGTGCATTCATTAAATATATTAGAACCTTTTGCAACAAAAATACTTGCTTACTATTTAAAAAAAGTTTAGTAACAATTATAATCAATCTCCTATATTACATTGTATTCATATAATATGAATTACATATTCAAATAACAAATTAGACATTAAATTACTTATGTTGAACTTCTCATATATAATCTTGCATTTATACACTTTCAAATATTTATATAATTATAAACATTGAGTAGAAAAAATGACCGTCAAATTATTAAATCAAATGAATAGTTCAGATTTTAATTTTTCATTGAGATTTCCTAATTTATCCTTAATTATATGATTATCCGATCCGTTAACTTTTCCATTAAGTACTGTTAATTCACCGTTAGTCTAATTCTAATATTAAAGTCTAATATAGAATTATAACTACAACATTAATCTAATTCTAATATTAAAGTCTTAATAGAACTCTAACCACAAATCCTACTGCTGAAATCTCCTCAAACAATATTAGTATATATTTACTATTTTATGTTTTAATTTTTATTTGCTCTTCCTTAAGTCCCGTATTTGGTTTCAACCATACCCATACAATTATTTTATTGACAATTATAATCAATTTTGACTATATTATCTTGCATTTGTAAACTTAGAATTACCAATTTAAATACGCAAATTCAACATTCAATTATCTATGCATGAACAATTCTAATATAATCTTACATTGATATACTTTAAAATACTTATTTAAGAAAAACATTGGGCACTATCCCAATCGCGCAATGCGCGTAAAAAACTAGTATAAATCTAATAAAAACCAATAATGTTAGACCCTTAACTGGAACAAAAAAAATGTCCGTAGTAGTTGTTTCTTAAAATGAATTATTCATATTATTTTGATTTTAGTAACTTTTTAATAATTTTCCTTATTTACCCTCTATTATATTATTTTCTTCCCTTAAATAACCCTAAATTCCGTTAGTATAAACTTTAGTAACGGAATATTCCGTTAACTATTTTTTATTCTTAACATACTCATTAATTTATATAAGAAAGGCCTTAGGTTCGAACCCCATCACAATTAGAGTTGGCATAATTGTTAAACATATATTATGAATATGTTAAAATGTATTAAAAAATATATAATATAAAATTTTAATACCTCCAATGGTTCTCTGAGTATTAGCGATTTACCGGTTGTGGTCATCCGAGTTTTAAATGACCTCCAATGGTCCTCCATGTTTTTAAAAAAACCACTCATGGTCCTTTTAGGACGTCTCGTGGTCATTTTAAACTCGGATTTTTTTTTTTTAAAGAATTAGGATCGTGGGTGGTTATTTTTTAAAACATGAAGGACCATTGGAGGTCATTTAAAACTCGGATGACCATAGCTGGTAAATTGCTAATACTCGAAGGACCATTGGATGTATTAACTCTAAAATTTGACATAAATTTTGGTCAAATAATTAGCCCGACTAAATACATAGCATTCAAAGTTTAGCATCAAATATTATAAATTAGGAACTTTAAGGGCCGTTTACTAACTGAAAATTTCTGGAAATTTTCGGAAACTGAAAAATAGAAAACAGAAAACATGTTTACTAACACAGTTTTCCATTTTGAAAACTGAAAATAATTTCTGGAAATTTCTGGAAAACTGGAACACACTTAAAAACTATTTTCGAAATGAAAAACAGAATCATCTATCATCTATTAGTTATATGTTACTATAACCACATTACTATGATTACATTCATTATCATCTCATTTTACTTATCACTATCTTCTATCTTTTCTACTTACGTTACTTATTTAAACATAATTTATTTGCTTACACTTTAAAGTTAGACATTATTTACATTATCAAAATTAAGAATTAAACTCTATATAATGTTTTAGATTTTGATTGAACTCAATAGATTATTAGTTCGAATATTTTTAATTGGCAAAAACGATAGTCTAGGACTAAATTTGAAATTGCCACCAAAGACAAGGGACCTTTGGTGGAATTAACTATATTTTAAACAATAGTAAAGATAAATTAAAAATGGAACTGAAATATTTCAATAATAATATCTACATCATCAATTAAAAATGGAACGAAAATTAGGTAAAAATATCACTGCATTTGATATTCTAATTGACTAAAAAAAAAAATTGGCTAAAAATGAATCCGATATTACTAATTGACTGAAAATATAAAATGATAACTAATTGAGTGATATTCTACCATTATATATTTTCACCCGTCCTGATGGATTGAAGGTGTTAGCTCTAGATGAAGATGAACAAGATTGTGTTGCCACTACCAATGTCGTCTACAAAGATGTTTCAATAATGTGTAAATATAATCGGTGATATTAATTTTTTTTAAATGAAAAAATTGCTATATATCTAGACAAAAAAAATATATATCTTCCATACAAATGAATAAGGATAACAATTCATTTCTATAACTGAGTTGTTAGAGAACAAGCACATTTGCATAATTTATGAAAATACTAAACAATGATAAATAAAATTTTCAAAATTATAGCACCGCATGCGTACATCTAGACATTAGTTATTAATTTGAGCAATTATTTGCATAAATTCAAGCAATGATAACATCAAAATATTTAAACGATCCAAACCATATATTTAATTACACTATATAATATTTAATGTTATAATTTAAATAATTATATATCGATTCATATATTCTTAATATATTACAACAAATCCATTCCGTGCATCGCACAAGTGCAAATACCAGTATGTATAATGAATCTTTATCTTTATCTTTATATCTTTATCTTTATATATAATAAAGCAAAAATTAAGGCCACGAAATTTTCCCTCCAAAATATTTTTATATTTTTTGTGAAGGTAAATCAAACATATTATTTTTATGAGCAATTATTGTTACAATTACTAGTATTTCACCCGTGCGATGCACGGAATGGAATTGTTGTAATATACTAAGAATATTTAAATCGATATATAATTATTTAAGAGTTAATTTCACCAGAGGTCGCTTATAGGATTTCTATTACCATCATTAATTATCCCTAATTTACCATAATTAAATAATTTGACCAATTATAAAGAGAGATTATTAAAAAATGCACGAGGTAATTTTTTAATTAAAAAATTTAAAAATTCATTAATAAAACATAAGGTTCTTATAGTTTTTTCTAAGAAACTATTTAATAACGCATTTTTTTTAGAAATTGGTGGGCCAAACCGCATACGGCTGTTTGCGGTGGATATATCTCGAAAAAATACACAATTTCAAAAAAACATTTGTCCAAAACGGACAACCGAGTCAAAACTTATGCATTGCCGAACTTTTGACACTTCACAGCTTTTACCCAGAATTATTGTACGAATGGAAAGTAGAAATCAATATATTTTATTGGGAAGAGAGATTTTTTAGGAATTGGACGGTAAGTTAAAATTTCTGGATTTTGTTTTTATATATAGTATAGATTATATGTGCAAAGAGAATTGTATTACACTATTTTATAATTTTAGAATAGAATTTTTACCCATGATTATTGTACGAATGGAAAAGTAGAAATCAATATATTTTATTGGGAAGAGAGATTTTTTAGGATTTGGGCGGGAAGTTAAAATTTCTGGATTTTGTTTTTATATATAGTATAGATTAGATGTGCAAAGAGAATTGTATTACACTATTTTATAATTTTAGAATAGAATTTTTACCCAGAATTATTGTAGGAATGGGAAAGTAGAAATCAATATATTTTATTGGGAAGAGAGATTTTTTAGGAATTGGGCGGGAAGTTAAAATTTCAGGATTTTGTTTTTATATATAGTATAGATTGTATTACAGTATTTTATAATAATATGATAATAGAATTTTATTATGGAGGATGAAAAGTGTCAATGCCCCAATAAGTCTAGGACAAAAAATGGCATTAACTCTTGTATTCCGTGAGTCACAATAATAATATAACAATAATTAAATATTATTCAATTCTATATTCTTCTAGGATTTCTATTACCATCATTAATTATTCCCAAATTTACCATAATTAAATAATTTGACCAATTATAAAGAAAGATTATTAAATAATGCACGGGACAATTGTTTAATTAAAAATATTAAAAATTCATTAATAAAACATAAGGTTCTCATAATTTTTTCTTAGAAACTCTTTAATAAAGTATTTTTTTTTTAGAAATTGGTGGGCCAAACCGCCTACGGCAGTTTGCGGTGGATAGATCTCGAAAAAATATGCGATTTCAAAAAAACATTTGTCTAAAACGGACAACGAAGTCAAAAGTTATGCCTTGCCGAACTTTTGACAATTTACAACTTAGTGTCAAAAGTCAAAAGTTATTACGAGAAGAGATTTTTTAAGAATTAGGCGGGAAGTTAAAATTTCAGGATTTTGTTTTTATATATAGTATAGAGTATAGATTGTATTACAGTATTTTATAATAATATGAGAATAGAATTTTAACGCAGAATTATTGTACGAATGGGAAAGTAGAAATCAATATATTTTATTAGGAGGAGAGATTTTTTAGGAATTGGGCGGGAAGTTAAAATTTCAGGATTTTGTTTTTATATATAGTATAGATTATATTACAGTATTTTATAATAATATGAGAATAGAATTTTAACGCAAAATTATTGTACGAATGGGAAAGTAGAAATCAATATATTTTATTAGGAGGAGAGATTTTTTAGGAATTGGGCGGGAAGTTAAAATTTCAGGATTTTGTTTTTATATATAGTATAGATTATATTACAGTATTTTATAATAATATGAGAATAGAATTTTAACGCAAAATTATTGTACGAATGAGAAAGTAGAAATCAATATATTTTATTAGGAGAAGAGATTTTTTAGGAATTGGGCGGGAAGTTAAAATTTCAGGATTTTGTTTTTATATATAATAATATAGAATATAGATAGATTATATTACAGTATTTTATAATAATATGAGAATAGAATTTTAACGCAGAATTATTGTACGAATGGGAAAGTAGAAATCAATATATATTATTAGGAGGAGAGATTTTTTAGGAATTGGGCGGGAAGTTAAAATTTTAGAATTTTAGGATTCCAAAGTTTCACCTCTATGACCAGTTGAGCTACCCATGCGGGCTAAACGACCAGGGATCGAGTCTCACCAGCGGCAGTGTGGGAGCAACCTCTCAAAGTGAGGGGGGCTCCTTGTGCGCAGTGAGCACCGGTCTAGCCTCTGTGATTAATGTTCAGTTAAGTCACCATGATTTACAACCTCCCACCGCTCTGTCGGGCCGGGGTGTGGGGGGCCCTTAGGGTTGGGGTTCAGCCTTTTGGAAGAATGAGAATAGAATTTTAACGCAGAATTATTGTACGAATGGGAAAGTAAAAATCAATATATTTTATTAGGAGGAGAGATTTTTTAGGAATTGGGCGGGAAGTTAAAATATTAGGATTTTGTTTTTATATATAGTATAGATTATATATATATATATATATATATATATATATATATATATATATATATATATATATATATATATATATATATATACTAGTTATTACACGTGCTTTGCGCGATTAAACAATGCCCAATGTGTATTTTCAATTTAGTATTCCTTAATTGGTTAAAGTATTCCTATAATAATGAGAGAGAGAATATTGTTAAATTAATAGAGAGAAAATTGTTAAATTAATAAAAGATAAAGACATAATCTCACTGCTTATATATTTTAATAAAAAATAATAAAAAAATTATAAATAATTAAATTATAACTAAACTAAGTAAAAACGAATAAACCAGATTAGATATCATGATTAACTACGGGAAGAATTTCTTAGTGCGCGTTTGCTGAGGCTCAAAATTGTATTCATCTTGTCCATCTTTAGTGAAGTTGAGTTGCTAAAATCCTATTAAGACTTCAATTATTCTAATTATAAGTTAGAATTTTATAAAAATTTGTATGTTAAAATTCTATTAAGACTTCAATATTCTAATTTTAATTTAGAAATCTATAAACATTTATATTCTAAAAACCTATTAAGTCTTCAATATTCTAATTATAAGTTAAAATTCTATAAAGATTTGTATTGTATTCTAAAAACCTAGTAAAACTTAAATATTTTTTAATATAATTAGAATAGAAAATGCGAACTGAAGGAGAATTTACAATACAACTCTATATAAGTATTCAGTTAAGGATAATTAATTGTAAATAATATAGAGTTACTATTACAAAAATGCCGCCGTCCTTTCAACTTAACATTCTCTGTTTACTTTGACGGTATGAATTTGGTAAAACTTTAAAAAATGAGGATAATTTTGGAATTTTATTGCACTTTGTACAATAAAACGAACACAAAGTACAATCTTTAATAAAATACTAGTGTACCGATATTTTTAAAGTTCCCGTTAAGGGTCTAACATTATTGGCTCTTATTAAGTTTGTATTTGTATATATATATATATATATATATATATATATATATATATAAACATTTAGATTAAATAAATATTTTTATTAATTACTTTATGTAACTCTTCGTTGTCCTCCAATGTTTATTGGATTTGTAATTTTTTTAAAAATATTTTGATATTTGAAAGGTTATTATATACATATCATAATTTTTGTTATAACATTTAGAGTAAATCTATACTATATATAAAAAGAAAATCCTGAACTTTAACTTCCCGCCCAATCCCTAAAAAATCTCTCTTCCTAATAAATATATTATTTTCTAATTTCTCATTTGTACTATAATTCAATATTAAAATTTTATTCTAATATTGTAAAATTGTGTAATACAATAGACCGAGTAGTATAGAAATATTAGAGAATGTTTATTTTCCTCATTTTAGAGAATGATTAATCTAATATTTAAGTCATATATTTACCATTAACAAATGTTTGAATTAATTATAGAAAAAATATTTTTTATAATTTTGTATTTTAAAAAAATTACTGTGCCCTTATTATATATATATATATATATATATATATATATATATATATATATATATATATATATATATATATATATCCGGATTAATCAATATTTAAATTCTATATTTTCCTTTAACAAATGTTAGAATTAATTTTTGCAAAAAATATTCTGTAATTTTATATGAAAAAAAAAATTTAATTGTGCCCTCATTATATATCGGACAAAACCGGGTTAATCAAATATTTTGAAAGTAATATATTCGAATATAATTTTGTATATGAAAAAAAATTCACCTGTGTTAATAAATCTAGAAAAATATATTAAATGTGAAATTACCCTATAGCAAATTTTATATTTATATAAGTTATAATTCATGTAATTATTCCATCCATTTTTTTTAGTTTTATGGTTATAAATATTTAAAATTTCTTAGTTTTATATTTATACAAGTTCAAAATTTTTTAATTTTAAGTTATAATTTATTAAATTATTCTATCTAATTTGGACTGATTTTTTGCAAGATGAATAAAGACTTTGATTTTAAGATATGTATTTACTTTTACCAAAAACAAATATGTACTAACTTTTTAATAATTTGTAATTTTGATTAGTATTTTAATAATTGTTTTTAATAATTTGTATTTGATTAGTTTTATTTATTGTTACTAATTTAACTTTTTATAGTCAAAATAACGATTAATATGAGACCATAACATTTTTATGTAAATTTTTCATATTGTGCATTGCACGGGTAAAATACTGATTTTTATTATATAAAATAATGTATTTTTAATACTCAAATAATATATATATTTTTAAATATAATATATATTTTAATATATTAAAAATATATTATTATATTAAATATACATTATTTAATAATATGATATCCAAACAATATTTTCATATTGATAAAAAAAAAAAAATCCCTTTCATTTGTTCAATATGAAAGGGATTAATCGACAGAGCTTCCGAAGGAAACGTATCGCATTCTTCATATTTTCGGTATTATCTTTCTCTTTCTCTTTCTCTTTCTCTTCGAGTTTTGATATCTGAAACTCGTAATTACTCTTTTATCATTTTCTCCGATGCATAGTAGTAATACCAATTTTTCATTCGCATCATGAAATCTGGTAATATGCAATATTGCAATGCAATTGTTACCTGTTCTTGAGCATCAAGCTTATCTCGGTGTGTTAATTTTACTTTGATCCTGTATGGATTTTCTTGTTCCTTACTTCTGTGCTTATTCTTGATGTTCAGTGCTCAATTGAACAAACTGTTTAAAAAACTGGGATGAATCACAGAAAACGCAATTGCAATTACAATTGCTCCGTGTAAGTGTCTTGAGGGTTGAGGAGAGGGTGATGAGCAAATTGTAATCAGAATGAGGCTTTACTCTCCATCATTCTAGTGCAACTGTATAAATCCTTGTGGTAGAGTCCATTTTCAGATTGGTTGCCACTGAAAGGTAATCATAACTTAGTTAAAGATTATTGGGATTCTGAGATGAACTAACTAGGGTGAAGGATGGTTCTATGTGCCTCTCTTAATGTAAAATTGCTCAATTAGGTGTAGAGAACCATGGATGCCCCATGGATTTTGATTTTTTTTTTAAAAAAAAAAAAAATCAAAGTACAGTTTTACAGGATCCCTCTTTTTCCTTTAAACTTTTTTGACTGCCATTTAAGGTGGTCATATGATATTGAATCAGGAAGAATGGTCCGGCTGGACAGCAGGAACGTCTTTGATGACTGGTAGATGTGATTTATTGTTTCCTGGTGATTCCATGAAATATATGCCGAATCATAGAAATTTTTGAAAGAAAGAATTCAAATTCAGCTTATTGTTGAAGCTTAGGAGTTACTTTACACTTTAAAAGTTGTCATAAAACAGAACATATGCAGATAATATGCAGAACCATGATCTATCTTAAAGGAGATTTAATTGAACAAGGATGATTGATTCCATCAAGGAAAGGGGTATTTCTCATTCCTGTGCCTGCCGCAAAGGTTAATGAGGAGTTAGAGCTCTCTGCTAATATTAGAGCTATCATGATTAAAAGCATATCCACTTTGGGTTACCAGTTATTCCTCCTGTCTTGTCGTAGGGCTTTTTGATCCCAAGTAGGATATCTATCCTGCATATGACTTTCATCCTTAAGCGTTGTTTAAAGTAGATAGGAATTTCTTTAGTACTGTATCACACCATTTCTAACTAGGGGGAATGTGTGTCTAGCTTTTTACTACTACTGTTACTCAAACTTCAGTCATGTCATTACCTTTAGGTTGTTAGGTTCAAAACTTTGGATTGGGGGAATGTGCAAGGCTGGAAGTCTGATTCGAGTTGGGAAATTAGGATTGGAATAAAGACTGAGAGTGGACTAAAATTCCCATATTTGGTTTGAAATTGATACTAGAATTATGGATAGGATTGAAAACAGTTATGGGTGAGGTCAGTGTCAAGGATAGGAAGGCTTATCGAGATTGCTAAATTGTTTGGCCCTTATGCTAGACTGGACTATGTATGCAGGATTGTGCCTTAGGGGACTTGGAAATCTAATTTGCCTTTTCCTAGGCTAATTCACTGAACCAAACGAGCTAATAAAAAAATCAACAATAGCAGAATACAATGTAAATTACACTGAAAATTCTTAATCTCTGTTGAAGTATCCTCAGGTTAGTTAATCATGCTCTTGCATGCCTGAAATGGGATAAACCTAAAATTCCTTGGGTCTCCGGATTAATTTTCTGGATATCATATTTAGCGCTGCATAATAAGGGGTTGTTTACCACATCATATCTTAGAATCTTAAACTAGGTAGCATTTTGTTTTGCCTGAAGAATGGATTTGAGAGCATCAATCCCCTTTGATCATTACACGTAATCACAGTATCTTTAGCATATACTGTCAATATCAATAAGATATGATCACTATAAATATTCCCTAAAACACCATATGAACACTCCATTTTAAAGAAGACTCTAATACTACATTGCTAAACCTCCCAAACCATACCCAAATAGACTATGTTAGCCTCTTCAATGATTTCTTCAATTTTGCATGCTTTCCCATACTCCCTTTGAACAACAAAGCACAAGTGTTGCTCCATGTATACTTCTTCTTGCAAATCCCTGTGAGGAAATGCATTTTTTGACATCTATAGTTCTATACAGAAAAGTCACCAGCAGGTGGCATTAGAGCTGGAAAAGACCAGAGCATGACTACCAACCACCAATGATAGTGATAAAACACCAGTGGATTGTTTACTCAAGGAGAAAGAAAGGAAATTAGGACACAAATGGAAATGAGAATCAATCAACATAATTTCAGATTACAAAAAAAGCATAAGTCATGGGATTGCAACAGGGAATCAGGGGAGGATATTATGCTATTTACTTTCCTATACAATATATGAGATTATAAATAGGGAGTCTTCCTTAGTGTTGAGGCAGGTAGTAGTAATTAGAATAAATTAAGAGCTAAGTATAGCTGGGCAAGAAAATATCCTCTGGCAAGAAATGGTTCTTGCCCAGCTATACTTGACCCTTATTTTATTCTAATTATTTCTGCTTACCTCAACACTAAGGAAGGCTCCCTATTTATAATCTCATATATTGTATAGGAAAGTAAATAGCATAATATCCTCTCATGATTTCCTGCTAATATAGCCTCCCCTAATTCCTTGTTGCAATCCCATGACTTATGCTTTATTTGTAATATGAAATTATGCTGTTTGATTGATTCTCATTTCCATTTGTGTCATGATTTTCTTTCTTTCTCCTTGAGTAAACAATCCCCTGGTGTTTTATCAATAGAACAACTTAGACTCCCAGGCTTGCCTTACTGTTCTGATGATACGATCTCGTATCAAGATAGCTCTACTTCAAGTGAGTGCAAACTCCGGGAATTAGAATGGGAGGAGAGCTTGAAGAAAGAAGAGAGGAAGAAGACAGATTAAGGAGATAGGGAGAGAGACTAGGGACACAGTATAGACAGATTAAAGAGACAGAATATTGAAGGATAGAATAATTCCATTATACTCTTATTCCACTTACAATACAAGAGCCTAATAAATATACTATATTTCTAATGCTAATTTAGGAATAATATTAACTCTCCCACTAATTACGTTGTACCATCATAATTTTAGGAACACAATTAACTCCCACTAATTAATATACACAACTTATTCCTATGATTAATATGCAATCAATGGTGTATCATCTGACCTCATCCTTGGTTTTAGATTTTGCATCAAGGAGTCCTCTTTCTTAGTTGAAATGAGAAAAACTGCTTACATATATGCTAACATCACCAGTGCATAGTCATAGTGTTGACATTGTTTATGATGGGTTTCTCTCTTGGTTTGTATAAGCACTTGTTGTGCTTGGATACCATGCATTATTATAGTAATTGGAAGAAAATAGATTGAACAAAAGGAATTGCATGGACATTTATATATACAAGCCTAACCTTTGTATACCCCTAAGTCCCTAACACTTCACATTAGTCATCATATTCCCCAACACCTCTTATATGCTTCTTTATATTTTCTTTTTCTTATTTACAGGAAAAATTTATGTCTTAAGTGCAGAACAAATGACATGAAAGCAACTGATTGATGTAAAGGAGCCAAGTGAGAGCTGAAATAAAAAGATAGTTATTTTTAACCCTTTTTTTTCTGAAGAATTTGAGGAACAATATAAGGTAATTTTAGGTTTCCTATGAACTTTTCTCTTCCAAAGAATCCGAGAATAAAAATGGAATTTTACAGTTTCTAAATTAAAATTTTCTTTTCCTGATGATTAATTGTCCATGCTTGATATATATTGACATGCCAAATCACTTTTCTGCCCAGTGCCCACAAACTATTCAAATTGAAAAATCAATCACAATGCTCCATTTGACTTCATATTTCTGGCCTTTGCATTTCCTTGTTTTGACTGATCTTACTTTTGCTTCTCCTTCAATATTCAGTGTTGAAATATGATTTTTTTTTTCCAGGTTTACTGCTCTAAACAATCTGTTCTGTGCAATATAATCGATATATATTAATTTCTTTATAAAGGACTTGTTTGATTACAGATCGCCAGTTGAATGACCTGCAAAGCACTTTTCTTACCTATATTTCAAAGGTTATATATTTATTGCACATCTCTTTCTAGGTGTTTTTTGAGCTAACAAGTGATAAGCTGAGTTTTGAGTGGACAGACCAGTGACATCTTGCACCATACTGTTAAACACTTCACTTTATCAAATCAAAAATCTATATAAATATATAAATATATATATATTATCACACAATGGATTCTCAAGAAATCCTAGTAAAGAAAATTTTCTATAATATCATATTACTAAATGCCTTATATTACTAACTAATGGTGTGAAGGGGTTGGCAAAAACCACGCCGACCTCACAAATAAATACACCATAATATGCATCATTTACCTAACACTGATCATGATCTACCTGAATCCTGTTGCTTGATGGCTTGCCAACTTGTAAACATTGAACTGGAGGGACAGCAGGAGAGTGCAACTCTCCAAATGTCTGCCAACAGTATGGATCATACAGGTGGTAACGCTCTTGTAGCGGCTCTAGTTTTACCCTGTCTAGGGTTACATCCGTACATGGCATGTTGTCACTACATGCAAAATGCACTGGTTTTACTGTATATGTTCCTCTTATGTTTTCATAGTGGATTCCTGATAGAGCCACAGCAGCTGTCTGGTTCTTGCATGTTCTTTTGTCACAATAAAACTGGTCAATTACAATTGGCAGTTGAACTTCAGAAACTTGGATGTTTGAAAACAGAACTCCTTGCACAGACCCTAATCCACCCTGCAGAAGTGAAATTTTAATAATTAGAGGAGATTGCTTTATGTAGTAGATTAGTTAGGGAGGAATTTCAGAAACTTGTTTATTAGAACATATGCATTTTCAAGTGAAACTTAAATGGTGTTAAAATATTGAGCCTTCAGAATATATCTTATATCCCATTATGGAAACTGCACCCTAATGAGATTTAAAAAAAAAAAAGTTTCAACACTCCTTTAAGTAACACACTTTTGAATTGAGATAAAGGGTTAGTTAATTAAGTGGATTTCCAATTAAATTGGCTTGTAAAATTGTTTCCTTACCTGCCATGTTTTTATCCTTACACCATTCATTGTGTTTTGCATAATTATGTCTCGCACAGTGATATTTGAGACACAAGCTTTTGTGTTGTCTTTTCCTAGTCCTCCAATGCTGATTCCATGCCCTGGTCCACAATTCACATTGTGTATATATACATTTGTGCATCCAGTTTGAATTGAAACACAGTCATCTCCTGCATAAAACAAATCTTTTAGGGAGTTGTTTGTTCTAGATGCCTAAAATTTTGTGCTTAATTCACATTATTCTTGCTTTCATTTGTTTAAAGAAAGAGCTACCTTAGTATGATAAGAAAGAAAAACTCTAAAAAGCACTGGGGTATAAGATTTTTGGGATCTCATGATGGTTATGAAGAAAGGATAGAGCTTTTCATGTGGGGTTTAAAGAATCATCCTAAATGGGATGGGATTGCTTTTTTCCTATATGGTCAGGCCATCTGCCGGTTGGTTGGTGGAGATTTGTTGTTAAAAAGAATTATATAACTGTGAACGGTAGCCAGGTGTCAAAATGTTGGTGGCTGGATTTTGAGGATTTGGTTCTTGTGACTTTCTAAGTTGGATAAGATTGAAGGATGATAAACCAGACCATGTAATGTGAGATGTGATGGATAATTCTCTTTAAAAAAAAAAAAAAATTCTCCAGACATTTCTTGCTAGTAATAACAAAATCCTTCATGTATCAGTTCTAGTGTGTGAAAAATGAACAAATCCCAAATTTAGTCGAGGGGTATATGTAATGAGAGATTTGTTGATTGGTTAGTATTATTTTGACCTGGTTGATAAGAATAAGTGTTTAGAATATAAATTACCACAACCAAGGGTGCTCCCACGGATAACCACATCTTTTGAGTTTTGTAAATGGATTCCATCTGTGTTGGGGCTATCTCCAGGTGATGAGGCAGTGAAATTGTATACATATACCCCTACGCAGTTGTCAAACTTGAGGTGGCACTGCGGACTATTCTGAATAGTGATTCCAGTGACAGTAACATTAAAACTCCCATAGAACCGAAGTGCCTGCACCACAAAAGTACATTGTTATGTCCACAAATACATTGCATGATCTAGAAATGCAGCTGCTTTGTAGTTCTGGGCAAGTGGTCCTTACCGTTGGCTTTGTGCTTGGCATTTTTCCACTAAGTGAACTATTTACCTGCCATACAATTTCAGGAAATAAATGAAGGGAAGGCAGAGATAGATGGATATGGACAAAAGACTACAGGTATGGAGGAGTAATTACCGAGATTGGAGGATAGACTGGCTTTGTTCTGTTTAGTGGAATGATTAATTTTAATTCGTCATCTATTGGGTCATCTAATGGGGAATTCTGCCACCAGACTGAACCACTTCCATCAATTGTGCCACTTCCCTTAATTGTAATTCCTACCAGCTTTGTAAATTCAAGCCATTGGAGAAGGCCTGAACCCCAAGCTTTCGAGTCTGTTGGAGCTATGATTTTGCCATCAAGCTGCACACAAGAAGCACAACTCTCAAAATACTCACTTATCTTTTAATCATACACCTTCAAATTTTCATTCTGTTTGTCGTACTAATAATATATATATATTGATGTGAATGGCTGTTTTGACCTTGTGAAAGGCATCGTAAACCGTGCTTAAGTGTTATGTGTTGTGTTTTGAAAGCATTGGAGTGCAGATCTTGGCAGTATTAGTAACTGCAACTTTTACATTTGTGTGGGTATGAGGATCTGTGTCATGTGGTTTACCTGAAAAACTATATTTTTTTCGCAGTAAGGTCCAGAGAAAGAAATGGGCCCCACAAGGAATACGTATTCTGAAGGGACCATCATCGTCGACGCCTCCACCTTACAAGCTGCAGCCCAGGTAGCTTGGAATGCCTACATTTTCATCACGGGAAATATAAGTTCTTGGTCAGTAACATATTTATTGTTTTTTTACCCCCCTCTCTCTCTCTCTCTCTCTCACTCTCTCAATGCCTTGTGTCAAAACCATAACTTTACATAATATATATATATATATATATATATATATATATATATATATATATATAAATGGTGATAGGTTTGTGCAGAAACTGTATGTAGTTAATTGTTGGAAACTGCCACAACGAGAATAATTTTGTGTGGGCCCCACCTGATCTCCTTGTCCAATTCTCTGGCTGCTGTATATTATTGTATTCACTTCACTTTTTAATTTATTGTCTAAACCTACCCTCTTTTGTCCTCAAAACATTGGAAATTTTCAATGACAAATTTGTAGGCATCTCTTTAGCCTCTTTAATTTGATACCTAGGTGTTGTATTTTCTGACCCGTGAGATATTCTTTCATCACATAGCAGAATCTTCATTTTCTATTTGCTATAGGACACTAAATTAGTGCATTTTTCCCGGGGGGTTTGACGACTTCTACGTGTTAAGCAACAATTTGTGAATTTTTGTCTATAGTCAAACATGTATACTATTAAACTATGACTCTGTTTAGTAGAGCTTATTTAAAGCTACAAAGAAGCTATAATCTCTGTTTGGTAAAACATAGAGAGCTTAAAATAAGTTACTGCTTTTGAACGTTTTTATTTTTTTTTTCCTTTTTTTATCTGTATTAATTTACAAAAATTACACCCTCTAGTCCTCTACCCTTCATTAACTTATCCTTTTTTTTTTTTTTTTTTTTTGTCTTTTCACATTTATCAACTAATTCAACAATTAATTTTACCAAACACTTTAATTTCAATTAGTTAGCGTATTAGTTACTAGCTTTTCAGCTTTCAGCTAGACATGCCAAACTGGGCCTATAAGGTTTTTAGTTGTCGTACTGGTCGAGATGGAACCTTTTTCAACGACCCTAACATAACTCAATCGGATTAATGCTTCTTAGCGTTCAGGTAATATACTGGTTGGTTCTGTTTATGTGTAGCAACCCCCAAGTCTTTCAAGATTAAGAAGAGTTTTTCAAGATTAAGAATGAATTAAGGTAAGGTGGCAATGTTGGTTTGTTTGTTGACTTCACTAAACCGAAATCAGCAAAGGGAACAATATGAGAAGTTGGACCACTTGGTTTAAACTTGGCAGCTTTTTTCAAAAAAACATCATGAAAATTTTGAGTTTACCTTAGTGTCATCACTCTTCCCATCACCCTTCGCTCCAAAATTCATGACACTGAAAACCGACCCGGTGTCGTCCTCATAACCTTTGTTTGGTGGATTTACAGGGATGTTAGGCCGGGTAGGCGCCGGAGCTGACGGCGGCAGTGGCGGCGGCACTGCCACCGGAGATGGGTGTTTCTGCTTCGTCTTGCCGGCATTGCTGTGGTGGCGATTGCTACCATGATGATACTTCCCTTTCTTCTTGTACAAAGATCCAGAAGAAGCAGCACCACCTCTGCTTGGCCTCCAATGTCTCCCTCTTCTCCCATCACAAGTTTCAACATTCCATGACCAAACCAGAAATGCAACCATCAGCATGAATGTAAGGCTTCTGAAACTAAAACCTCTCATTTTTGCCATGTACAATGAGAATGTGGTAGGGGGGTGGGTGGGGGGGGGGGGGGAGGGATATCAGATGTATGTGTGTGTGTGTGTGTGTGTCTCTTCCTTAAGATGGACAACATAGAAGATGCTGGTAGTTTATATAGGGAAGAATGCTCAATAGTATAGCCATAAAACAAAATAATTCTTCGGATTTATGTTTTTTTTTTTTTTTTTTTTTTTTTCTTTTCCCCAATATTATTAATTATTTTTTTGTTTCTTTATGGTTAATATTTATTACGTTCACTAAAAGGCCCCATTTTTGGCATATGCAAATATGTTGTCTCATGTGACCTGCAATAAGTCGTATGCCATACACAAATGTGTGAGTATAAATAGATTAATTAATTAATTAATCTTACATACACCATTTGATTAGGTGAATACATTTTAGTTCCTGTCATTTTTACCGCCAAAAAAGATAACTTTTTGTACTAAATGCTTTATACCATATCAATTTTATACTATTCAATCACCAATCATATTTAATTGGATGACTGATCAAATACTTTAAAGTTTAAATCAAATCAAACCATAACAAAGTATTTTACACAATTAACATTACCCTAAACATAGGGGTGCAATTATTTGTGTGTCATGCCATCTCTTTTTAATTGTTCTTTATAATTACATTAGGGTTGGTCTTCTGTAAGACTATTTCACGTGTCTCAATTTGCAAGACAGGTTGGAACTAATAAAAATGGATTATAATAGAATTGTAGATATAATCAATATTTTTGGGTGAAGTGCCAAATAGCACCATGAACTAATTGTGATATGTCATGTCGCACCCTGAACTTACATAAGTGATTATTCGATTCACAAACCAAAAAAAATTGTCCGCCTAGCCTTTTTTACAGGTTTCCCTGTTGCCTTGATGACATGGCACAGGTAATGTGCTGATGTGGATTTTTTTTTGTTTTAAGTCAGTCTTTGCTTGGTCAAATAAGCTTACTCAGATCATGAAGCTTAGTTTTTCAAGACTGTCGTCCAAGCTTTTATCTCTGCAAGCCATCGAGTTGCTGGACCACGCTGGTGATAAGCTCTTATAGTCCCGGAAGAGATCGACAGAGCCACGGCGTCGTTGGGCAATGTACACTGTTGCCGGCATTCCTCATCGTCGGCTTCTGACAGCACTGAGAAATGCATTCCTCATCGTCGTTTGGGGTACTCCTCGCCGGAATCTTTAGCTTTTTTCTACGTAGAGATTGGGTAATGAAAACAATGATCACCATGAAAAAACCCACTACCATTCTTGCTCTAGTAACTTGACTTGGCATGAAAAGAAACACCAACCCAATTCCCATTCTCAATCCAATCATGTCTACATGTCCACCGACTAAACCAAACCTTACGATTCAATATCTTCCCAAAAATTTCTCACAATAATGGATGTTTCAACTTACGGTATATTCTCTATACTTTCTACTGCTTATTAATTTAGTATACATATGTTAAATTGTTCCCAGGGATGTGCGAAACATTGGCTTTCAAAATGTTTGCATTATTTTTTGTTGAAATGTATAGTTGAAATGCAGAGCTATGGTCTAAGAATCAACATAATATAGAGTCTGATCACACTACCTTCTGCATCTCCTCGACTTCACTGAAATCACAGATACTGTCAAAATCTTCCACTCTTAATCCTTTGCATAAAAACTGAGGACGGCGATCAAATTCTGAGGTCGCGAGAGGGGTTCGTCGTTGTCCTGAGCATTGTCGACATCCTTCGATCGTCGGGGCACCGCCGACTGCGCAACAGAGTCCACAAATTCTGGACCACTCCGATCAACAATCCAAGCAGTGGAGGTTGATCTAGACGCATCCCTAACCCCATCTATGGCTTCCGATCGTCCATGCATGGACTCAAACGCCGGAAAAATCTCCCGCGACGAAGACCGGTTCGCGACTTGCGACTTCGCTGATGGTTGCGGATCGCCAAACTGAAGGTGGCGACTTCGCTGGGAGTGGGAGATTACTCTGGAGAGTCGCGAAAGATCATCGCTGGCCTGGAGTCTCTTGATCGCCGACTTCGAGAGATTATAGCCTTGTGACGAAGATCGGCCATGGAAGAGTATAACAGAGGTTACTTTATATTATTTAATATAAATGGTGAAAGGGCTGCCAACTAAATACCTCCACATCAGGAAAAAAAAAAAAAAAAAAAAAAACCTCCACATCAGGAAAAAAAAAAAAAAAAAAAAAAAAAAAAAAAAAAAACCTCCACATCAGCAAAAAAAAAAAAAAAAAAAAAAAAAACAAACAAACAAACCTCCACATCAGCAAGTTATAACTTGTTACTTGGAGACAACCTGCTAAAAAAGCTAGGTGGACAAAATTTTTTAGTTTGTGAATCGAATAATTACTTATGTAAGTTCAGGGTGCGGCATGACATATCGCAATTGGTTCATGGTGCGATTTGACACTTGAGCCAATATTTTTTTATATAACAAAATTATAAAAGACAATATTTGCAGAAAATTAAGTTATAACATAGCAGTAAATTTACTGAAATTTAAGTAATAACATAGTAGAATTGCAAATATAATTAATACTTTAAACTTTATATATAATATTTTATAGCAAAATTAACAAATAATTTACAGGAAATAAAGTGTCATTACATAGTTGAATTACAGATATAATCAATACCTTAAACCTTATATATAATATGTTTCTTTATAACATAAATGTACTACTTTATAGCAAAATTGTAATCGCAAATTATGCTGTGCAACCGAATGCACCATGCGCATGGTGCATACGATGCAAAACGACGTAGTTTTGGTTACAAAACGCGCGTCCTACTAAAAAAGAAATCAGGTTCGATTCCCGGCAATAGCATTTTTATATATCCATAAATTCATAACTATATATCCACAAATTCATAACTATATATCCACAGTGAATGAATGAAGTAAAAATCCACAATGAATGAACTAAATATTCACAATGAATGAACTAAATATCCACAATGATTGAACTAAATATTCACAATAAATGAACTAAATATCCAGAAATTCATAACTATATATCCACAGTGAATGAATGAAGTAAATATCTACAATGAATGAACTAAATATCCACAATGAATGAACTAAATATCCATAAATTCATAACTATATATCCAGAAATTCACAACTATATATCCACAATAATGCTATTGCCGAGAATTGAACCTGATTTTTTTTAAGTGGGACGCGCGTTTTTAGTTAAAACGACGTCGTTTTACATCGTATGCACCATGCGCATGGTGCATTCGGTTGCACAGCATAACTATTGAACTGTAATAGGCAATTTGCAAAAAGTAATATTACCAAATTCATATTCCATATGACCCAAATCTCATGACCCAATCTCTCTCATGAATTGAGACTATGAGATAGTCTCATGAGAGAATTTGCTAAAACAATATTAATAATTGGAGTTATCATACTTACATATATCATTTCCACATTGGATTATTTATTTATTTATTGGTTAAAAGGGAAAAATAAAAAGGAAAAAGAAAAGGAAAAAGTCACACGTGAGTGGGTCTATAAGTGGTCAAGGGCACTGATTATAACAGCTCTTTATGATCACATGCAACGTTCACGGGCTATGGTTTTGTATATTGTCTTCTTAACTATCAGCAGTCGCCTCATGCCCTATGCTTCTTCTTCTTCCATCTTCTCCTTCTCTCTCTTTCTCCCATATATATATATATATATATATATATATATATATATATATATATATATAAAATTTCTAGCGTTTTTTTTTTTCACTTTTGTTTTTTATTTTCTCCCAACCTTTCGTTCTCCATCTTTATCCAGAAATTTCATAATTAATATAGAAATTAAATGTAGGTTTAGGCACGACCTTATGTCTCAGTTGTCACAAGATTAACATATAATAGAATTAGAATCCCACAAATCAAAAAAACAAAAACAAGATCGTCATATGAGATTTCAAGGAAAATATATAGTGAAAGAGAACATAAAGTAATACTGCACATTTTCTTTGAAATATTGTGATTGAGTGACTATTTAGTAAACCAACTCTTAATTTAATCAATCAAATTTTATTGGTTACGAGAATATAAGCTAATATATGAGACTTGGGTCAACTTATAAATTTTGCCGTGCAATTAGGGTCTGTGTTAATATTATTTAGTATCAGAGCTACATCAGTGAGTAAGTGCACGCTAGTCCGATCCAATTCAACATGCATTTTACCGATAAAATTAATCTAACGGAAGAATTGATTGATGAATTGCAAAATAGTTTAACTCGTTTCACCATGCAGAAAAGTATATATATACATTTGTGAATCTAAACATGATATTTTTTTTAAGTGCACGCTAGTCCAATTAAACATGATATTTTTAATGTGAAGAGTAGCAACATCATTTTGCAAAATAAAACTCCTGAGTTAATTTCAACCAATTTGATCTTCAAATTGTTTAAAATTTCATCAATTAAGCCATTTCAGGGACCAAAATGGTTATTTCCACCCTTTCAGGGACCAAAAGTGTTTAATTGGCAAAATTTAAAAAAATTCCAGAATCAAATTGGTTGAAATTGAAAACAAAAAATTACATTGACAGGTGAAAAACAATTGATAGACCAAAATGTTGATTTTCCCAAAAACTCTCATTGTAAGCAAATGTTGAGTGGGATGAGAAAGTCCTGTGTATGGATGGTATCGAATTTGGGGAGGTCCCATCCCTGGGCTTACGTGAGCCATCAATCCTTACTTTAGTGAAGTACGTACACAAATATGATTAAAAGA